CCTTGGGGAGAGGCTGGCCTTCTCACACACCTCAGTGAACTGTTACTGAGTCCCCAAGTCTCCTAACACCGCCATGCTCCTGCCTGGGCTCCTTCCTGCACCTGGGACAATTTTTCCTATTATCATTCATTTAAGAGACATTTATTTATTTACTTATTCATTTTTATGATCAGCTTTCTTAACAAAATTACATTTACATGCATTCTTAAATTTTTTTTTTTTTGAGAGGTTTTTGCTATAGGGCACATGCTAGACAGAGAGAGACAGAGAGACAGAAAGCGAGAAATCACCCCCTAGGGGAGACGGCCACGCTGCAATCCCTTCTCCTCCTTTCTCCTCTCAGGATCTTGGGCGCGCACACACATGTGCCCGGTGTGAGTTTTAAGCCACCAGGTCTGGGACTCGAACCGTGGTCAACTACATGGGAGTCCAGCTACATAGCTATTACGCCAACTGCTGGTCCCAACTGTTGCCTCCTTGACCAGTGCACGTGCATCTGAGTTCATAAGACCCTTTAGAGATGTTGATGTGTAGGGCTGAAAGCAACTTGATTGGGAGTCAGATGTCTAGAAAGAATCAATGATGGTATTGGATGATATTAAATGGTATTTTGCCCAAAGGACCCAGAAGTGCTCAAAGTCTATGTTACCAGTTATTTTTCTACTCTTGGAGGTGTATGAGGGAGAGGCACATGTAAGGGACAGTTGGAAAGGAAAAGACTCCTCTATTTGCAATTAAATTTGTGCCCTAAACTCTAGTACAAAACACTTTACTAGTAAATTGGCCTATAACTCCTGGCCCAGGATTGAGACTTATTGGAATTTTCCCCCTCTATTCCTAGTCAAACCCACATCTAACTGCTATCTGTGCTGTTTGCATGAAAGGGCAGGAGAAAGAGAGTGCCAGAAACGAGGAGTTTCACACCCACGTACTTGAACTTTTCACTTGCAGTATCTACTGGCAGATGTGCTCTGTCAGTGTCCTGGAGTGCTGCCCATTCAGAGAGAAGATGCTTCTTCCCTGACACTCACTTTAGCAAAGACTGCCCTGCAAAGCTGAGCCAGGTTCAGAATCTGTGTTTCTCTGACCTCAACGTCCATGCATCATCTACAGTGCAAAGCGGTCTGTCCTTTCGAGGTCAGTGGGTCAGGCCCTGCTCTCTGGTGCAGTGGTAACGTGCTGCTTCAGAGAAGCCAGATTCTACAATACATGATGACCACGATGCAGATCCCTGCGCAGCCAGCCTGAAACATGCCGGGCACGAGAGAGTGCCCAAGGCCTGGCTGTCCGGAGCACTGGGGGAAGGCGACTGCATAGTGATCAGACCCTATGGAGAGTGATTATCCTTCTCTCTCTCTCTCACACAGGTTATCATGAATTATAAAAATAATAATACTAATAATCAGTGGGCCAGGGAAATAGACCCTGGCAAAATATGACCGTTTTACATTACAAGCCATTCCTAGGTTCTGTTTTTAATAAACAGAATATTGTTAACAAATGTGCCCTATGTTTCTAGCTATGCTGTTTCTAGCAGGTCCGCAGAGGAGTTTTGCTGCTGGAGGAGAGTGCTTCTTGGGCTCTGCCGCCTGGGCTGGCCCAGACTATGAAATAACAGGCAGGTCTCCAGGTCAGCTCTGGGTGAACGAAAGGCTGTGGTTTGCTCTGTAGAAATGTCAGGTCTTGCAGGAGAGCAAACTGCCTGAAGCACAATACACAGTGGATTACCTTTTGAACTTCCACATCACCAGATTATTTCAGCTTAGTTGTTTATAAAGCAACCCACAGAACTTCCTCGTCTGCCAGAGCTCTGGACTCACTAGAGCCCTATCATTTTACCAACCCTACAGGGCTGAGCAGCATCTAGGAATCTGATTTTAATCAGACTTTCACCCTTGGTCTTCATCTGTGAGCTTGTATAGACATGAGGAGACATGCAAACACGTGTGCACGTTTACCCAACATTGGGAAAAAGATTGCCCAGTTTTATTAGACTATCTAGGTTTCATCCATAGGTAGAATTGTATTCTTTTCAGGCATAACAGTTGAGATCTTTCAGAAGATTTTTTAAAAATAATTATTTTTATTTCACTTTATTTTATTTTATTTATTCATTTTTTATTTGACCAGAGAGGGACAGAATGAGAGAGAGAGAGAAAGTGAGAAAGCAAGCTGCCAAGTCCAGGACTGAAATTGTGGTCAACCATGTGGGAGTCCAGCACCCTTAACCACCACGCCACCTGCCGGCCCCTCAGAAGACCTTTAATGCCATATCTCAGTGACCAATGCTCACTTCACTTTTTGAAAAGTATTTTGGGGTGTGGTGCTTAAAGCACTGGAGTCTTCATGGCCAACTACAGTTTGAATCCCCGACCTGGCCCCTTGCTTTCTCACTTTCTCACTCTCTCTGGTGAGCACACATGTTCTATAGCAAATTTAATAATAGTAATAGTTAATAAAAATTAAACAATTCTTTTACAAATTTTTTTTAAGAAGAAAAGTATTTTGTAACAATAAGAAGTAACTTTTGTTTACATTTTATTAACAAAATATGACAAGTATTTTTACCAGGCCCATAGATAGTTTTGCCTTTCTTTTTTTAGGGTCAACTTAGTATAGTCTCTGTTTTAATAAAGGTAAGATATAATAGACAGTTTTAATTACTTTGTTGAGCTCATGCCATTCGTTGTCTGCCTTTCCACAGCCACACTGTTTTGAGACTGGGTTTAGGAAGTTTGAATGGAAGTCAGTTAAGTGCTAATTTCACAGTTTCTCCATATATTACTCTCTGTAGTGTGTAGACTCGTTATCTCGTCCGTCAAGCTGCTGATGTGTTAATTATCCATGAACTGCCCAGGTCACATTGGCTGAGTATTTTATCAGGATTATATTTATTTCACTTTACTTTGTGACTGGAAGGAGGCCGAACAAAATGAATGCTTGACCTTCTTCTGCTTAAAGGTTTTGGAGGCTCCAAGCCCCAGTACATGCAAATTCCAGAGCTGTAACAAATCTTAATGCTGCCACGTTTTGTACAGGGATGTGAGTAACTGTTTGACATTCTACCTTTTGAACCTACCTCTCCCTTACCTAGGTTAGCGTTCTGTAAGCAGCTCTGCAGTTGACTTATTTCTATGCTAAGTGTTCTGCAATTTTGGTTGTTGCACTGTGGGGAAAAAACCTGACTGAAGATCACTTTACCAAAAAATTCAATGTCATGTGTGAAACCGTTACAACATATGCCTAGAAATGTGAATTTTTTCCTACTCTGTTATGTTTTTGGAACTATGTACATTAAACAGACAGATGAAACAAACATTGATGAGAGTTGAAATCCCCCCCCCCCAAAAAAAAACAAACCCAGAAACAAAATGATTTTTCTAAACTGTGTTTGGAAATCATTAGGGTTTTTATTTTATTATTAATATGCCAGTATGTATGCAGAAGCCATTTACACTTTCCTAGGTGAATTCTCTAGTCTCCTTATCTCTAGCTTTTACATCTAGTCGTTCAAAGATTTAAGTAGGGCGAGGTAGGAGTTCAGGCCGTCTTTGTGTGCCTGTTTTCCCAGGCGTTTCAGTGTACAGACCCTAAAGAATTATCTGGGGTTTATAGATCAGAAGGTAACAATTGCTCCATTGATTTTCAAAAGGCATGGAATCCTGTAGGCAGAACCCCATTAAGCTTTGCCCATAAAGGAACCAACAGCTTTTCACTGGTGTACTTGTTAAAGATTACCAGCCTTGACAGTACCACATTTCTAAAGCTGGCAAAACGAAGGAAAGAATAAGCGAAAGTAGCAACAATGGCCCAGTGACTGACTTGCTATTGTTTGGACTTTCTGGAAACCAAGCATCAAAGGGCATTTTCTTCTGAAGGAATGATGTGAGATGTAGTGCAGCTCCATTGTTTTTGTGTTGTGTTTAAGTTGCAAGTTACAGAAACAAACCAAAATTAATTCCTAGCAAGCAGCGGGACATTATAGCTGCCCCCCTGGAAAGCATTTGCATTCTTGTCCAAGTCTGCACTTTAAAGTGCTATTAATCTTGGGAACCAGCAGTTAGCGTAATGGCTATGTCGCTGGACTCCCACATAGTCGACCGCGGTTCGTGTCCTGGACCCGGTGGCTTAAAACTCACGCCGGGCGCGTGTGCGTGCGTGCCCAAGATCCCGAGAGGAGAATGGAGGAGAAGGGATTGCGGCGTGACCATCCCCCCCGGGGGGTGATTTCTCGCTTTCTGTCTCTATGTCTCTCTCTGTCTGTCTGGTGAGCGCACGCGCCCTACAGTGAAAATCTCTCCAAAAAAAAAAAAAGTGCTATTAATCTTAAAATTATATGCAATCGTTTCATTTTTTTCTTTCCCTCCTCCCAAGGGTGATTACTTACCTGTTTGCTGAAAGGTTGCTGAGACTTTGAGATCTTAAAGGAGAACAAGAGATGAATTTTAAAAGGGGGCTTTCCTAAGAGGTGGCCTGCTGGTCCTGCTCTGTGTGGATTAAAGTCTTGTTCTATAGATTTGATTCCTTTTCCCTCCCTCCTTCCATGAAGGGACCCAGGCCCGTGGCGGGATCCACAGACCAGATTGCACATTTACGGCCTCAGACTCGCCCTAGTGTGTAAGTGAGGGTGTCGTTTCTTACTGCTTAAGCATTCATGTAAAACTTCAGTCCTAACAGCAGAGGTTGGGAAACACCTTTCTGAACGAGCTGGTGATAGGCTTATGGCTCACTGAGTGGTTTGTGTTCTGCAAACTTCTACTCAGTGACGCGAATAATTAGGAAACCGCTGAAACAGAATGCGGCTAATGCATGCGCTTGCTAGGTAGCTATTCCTGCCTTTCATAGTTTCAGGAACATACTCCTTGTGCCTTTATAATATTACATGTGTGTGGAACTGCAATTTTCTGAGCAACTCTTGTTTGAGCATTTTTAGCATCATATGTATTCCTTGCATTAGAATTCTTATAATTACTTTAACTTCATTTATTTGTTTGTTTGTTTGTTTGTTTATATATTTTTAATTTGACCAGAGTGCGAGGGTGGGGGGTGGGGAGTGAGAAAGCAAGCCATCAGGACCAGGACTTGAACTATGGTCGGCCATTTGGGAGTTCAGTGCCCTTAACCACCACGTCACCTGCCGGTCCCCCTTGGCATTAGAATTCTAAGGAGCAGGAAAGTATTCCACAAATATCAGATCTAGATGGAGTATGCATGTAAAAAGCTCAAGCCCCCAGCAATAAGTGTCCAGAAAAGTCTAAGCCCACTGATGGGAGAATGTTGCTAGATTTTGGTGGGTCCTGTGTTGTGTGACTTTATACACAAACAGTTTAGAGCGCTGGTTAGTAACGATAGGTTTGTGTTATCTGTCTGGCTTCCATTTGTTGGGGAGTAAAATTGCTTTCATCGTGAAATTATTTTACATTCACTATGCTCTAGACTTTTTCTTTGTCCGTTTCAAATTCAGCCTTCCTGGCAGAGCACTTTAAAGCAAGTGCAGCCCAGGCTTCCAGGTTCAGCTTGCATGTGGGAAGTAGCACGCTGTGCTTCCCAATGGGACTTGATGCCATATGTCCTTATTGGGGCTATTTCCCAGGTCGAACAAGTGCCATTTGAAGAGCTCAGTGTTCTCAATGGGACCCTAATCCCTTGCAGCAAGTTAGGCACTCTGGGAAGCTGTATTAATTCTTTTAAACTATGCAGATGCTATTTGGAGGGAGAGTGTCTTCCACACTGGGAGGGTCAGCAGCTCTGAATCAGGAAGATCTCTGCCTGAGTTAGTTTTAGCCATAGACAGCAAACCTTTCCATGGGAATTGCCAAGACTATTTACAGATGAAAGGATTATACTTTCTGTTTGTGTTTGTAAAAACATATTGAAGACTTTATATCAAGGAAGACTTTTGCGTTTTTTTTGTTTGTTCATTTGTTTTTACCTTAGGGTGTGTGCACTCACCAGAGAGAAAGAGGGAAAGTGAGAAATCACACCTCAGGGGAGATGGCCATACCACAATCCTTTCTCCTCCATTCTCTTCTTGGGATTTTGGGCATGCATGCACAGAGACCTGGAATGATTTTCCAGCTGCCAGGTCCAGGACTTGAACTGTGGTTGGCTATGTGGGATCCTAGCACCCTAACCACTATGCAACCTACTGGCCCCAAGTTTTTTATTTTTTTCCCTTTTTTTGGCTGCGTTTTTTCTTCTTCTTCTTTTTTTTAAACATTTGATCACTATGCATCATTTGGCTTGTAAAGATAATTTACCCAACATGAAATACATCTCAGACCAGTCCAGTTGAGAATACTATACACATTATCATCAACAGATAATAAACCATTTCTGTGTCCTACACATGTCTTGTCTTATTTTTTCTCCCTGATTCCTTCCATATACTCTTCCCTACTCCCACCCTCCTTCCATATTGTCTTCAGTGTCTATAACTATTTTGAATGATTTCATGCCTTCCAGTCTTTCAGTCTCTACCATAGAGTGCAGACAGTCAGTATATATTAAGGGAAGACATACAATATCTTTCTTTCATAGCCTGACTTGCTTCACTCAGCAACAAATCTTTCATATTCAACAATTTTCTATCCTATGCCAGGGACTTGTTTTTTATGGCTGAGTAGTATTCCATAGAGTATATGTGCCACACTTTTTCAATCCATTCATCTGTTTGTGGACATTTGGGTTGGTTCCATGTCTTGGCAATCATGAATAATCTGGCCCCGAGTTTTGAGCATGTTGGAGTTTGTCTGTTATTTGGGCCGAAATCAAATCTTCTTTTCTATCCTAGGTACGTGGCTATATATCCGTATACTCCCCGGAAAGAGGATGAGCTAGAGCTGAGGAAAGGGGAGATGTTTTTGGTGTTTGAGCGTTGCCAGGATGGCTGGTTCAAAGGGACATCGATGCATACCAGCAAGATAGGGGTTTTCCCTGGCAATTATGTGGCACCAGTCACAAGGTATGGCTTTGAATAAATGGTTTACTAAGTTCCAAACAGAGGAGTTTTGTTCTTTTCTGTAGTTTTCAGCCTGTCCAAATTCTATTTCACATTATAATTGCCTTTTATGTAGCCAGAGTTTGTTAAATCCATATCTCTGTCTGCTTAAATCTATTCTAACTCTAAAATTTTTAGCCTACTTTTTACATAGATACTGGGTCATCGGGAAAGTCATGACGCATGTTTGTATAGAATAACAGAAAAATATATCACTACTTTCCTGATGACCTAATATATATAAAATCATAGGTTTCTACTAATAAGTGTATGGGGCTTTAAGTTATTTGCCTTAATGTATATTTAAGAAGACTCAAACCACTTTTAATATTTTTCTATCCCATAATAGAAAACATAATGTTCTATGTAACCAAAAGCTGTGTTATTGATGGTTACCTGTTTGTATAATGCCTACTCTCTGCCAGGCAGGCAGGTTTCTAAATGCATCATACTTATTAACTCTTAAGTCCTTAAACAACTCACTGATGTAGTTGCTATTGCTTTGGCTTTTGTTGTTGTTGTTTTAATCACCAGAGGCCATGTGTACTTACCACGAGAGAGAGAGAGAGAGAGTGAGAGTGCAAGCGAGTGAGAGAAAGCTGCCCCCTCCAATGGGGCATGATCATGCTGCAATCCCTTCTCCTCCACCTGTCCATCCTCTAAGGGTTTGAGCCTGCACACACATGTACTTGGCCTGTTCTTCAAGCTGCCAGGATTTAAACCATGGTTGGCCATGTGGGGCTAACCACTGGGTTAGAGGGCTGGCCCAGTGTAGTTGTTGTTACCTCTGTTCAATAGATGACAAAATTGAGGCAGAGAGAGAGAAAACGACTTGTCTGAGATCTCATGGTGAAGAAGCACTCAAACCCAGGTGCAGATAAACATCCTATAATACATAGGATAGACAGCCCCTCTCCCCCAAAATAATGACCTGACCTAAAATGTCGCTGAGGTGGGGGGATCCTGCTATAGGGTGATAGGAGCTTTTGATATTTATAATTTTCTTTTTTTTAATTTAAAGATAGTGCACCTTCTGCTCACTGAGGAACGTAGCCTTGGGAACTCAGTGAAATTAAATGGAATCATTATTGAGGGAGTCCTGGTTTTTGACCACTGGACTCTTAATAAATGGTCTGGTTTAACTGTATTAAATCATTCCTTAAACCCCCTGATTTTAAACAAATGGCTTAATGAACTGACACGTTTGTCAGCGGTTGGCCTTGATTTATAGATTGGCCAGCAGCCTAATCAAATGAAAATCACTGCTGTTGCAGATGGTGACAGAACATTAGCTTTCATTTGACTTGCAGATTTTTAATCAATACAAACCTCTTTTCTGTATACATTAAAATCTACATTCAGGATCCAGACCATTCAGAAAATGGAAGATAGACCCTCCCTGGTACCAAAAGATCATAATAAATAAGGGAAATACAACAAACAACAACAGAATGAAGCTATTGAAGAAAAGCCTTTTTATAAGGTTTTAAAACAAATGATGAACGATCTCTCTTAGCCCCGGGAAAATGCTTCCAGCAAATTCTCTTATTGATCATGATAAATAATAAGGATGTTGAGTGAATGAAGTATCTCACTCAGTAGAAAGGTACTACAGTATATACAGAATTATTGACATGAATTTGGAATATCAGAAAAACACATTGCACAAAACTACACTTAATGTAATTATGTTCACCTAGTAAATAGTGATTTAGAGCTCACTATGCCTATCTATGACTATCCAAATACTGGAGGAATATAAAATATGAAATATGCACTGGCCCTGCCATAAGGAATTTTTAATGAGTTAGCAGGTTTTTTGTTTTGTTTTGTTTTGTTTAGACAGAGGTTTTTGCTATAGGGCGTGTGCGCTCTCCAGAAAGACAGAAAGAGACAGAGAGACAGAAAGCGAGAAATCACCCCCCCAGGGGGAATGGCCATGCAACAATCCCTTCTCCTCCATTCTCCTCTCGGGATCTTGGGCACACATGCACATGCACCTGGCATGAGTTTAAGCCACCGGGTCCAGGACTCAAACTGTGGTTGACTACATGAGAGTTTAGCAACATAGCCTTTATGCTAACTGCTGGTCCCAAGCAGTTTTTTAAAAATAATATATCTATTTAAAAAAGAATGCAGTACCTTTTATAACCAGGGACCAAAGTATAAACAATATGTGGCATATAGAAAACAGAAACCACAGAAGAAATCCACATGAAATAGTAAAATCATAAGATCTTAAACCTGAACCTTAGACCAGTCTTCTTGAAATAGCAGGATTTGTGCTGGATCTTGAAACATAAATAAGATTAAAATAGATCAAAAAGAGCCAGAAAGGTCATTCCAAGAATTTTGTGTGTGTGCGTCTGTGTACATGAATGTGTGTGTGTGTGTGTGTGTGTGTGTGTGTATGTGTATACAAGGCACTTGAGTAGCTGGAGGTAATAAGAAGGTCATGACACAGGACCAAAACTGTAGGAATATGGAGATTAGAAGGAGACAAACCTGGCTTTCCAGATGAAGTACAAAAACCCAGGGCCTTGAAAGTTAGTGGAGGTGTTTGGCCTCGTAATGGAAAGCTGAAACCTGTAACCGCACATCCTTGAGCAGAGTACGAGGTGTGGGTTTTCATGATTCCAAACGTATTTCAAGTCCTTACTCTGCCTTGGGGCCATCATGACTTTGAATTTTTTATCCTTAAGCTTGGCCAAAAATAATTTCATTCATTTTTTTTTTTTAAATGTTCTGTCTTTAAAGCACTGAGTCATTTTCCTTGCATTTAATTGTTCCGTCTCCCATTTTGCTGACAGATTGGGCTTTCCATCTTCGTTTCTGTCTTGGCAGGGCGGTGACGAATGCTTCCCAAGCTAAAGTTCCTATGTCTACTGCTGGTCAGACAAGTCGAGGAGTGACTATGGTCAGCCCTTCCACTTCAGGAGGACCTGCCCAGAAGCACCAGGGAAATGGTGTGGCTGGGAGCCCCAGTGTTGTCCCCACGGCCGTGGTGTCAGCAGCTCACATCCAGACGAGTCCTCCGGCAAAGGTCTTATTGCACATGACCGGGCAAATGACAGTCAACCAGGCCCGCAATGCTGTGCGGACAGGTAAGGGGCAAGCTAGGCTACAGTGTGTCAAGGAAAGAGTTCAGATCGTTCTTGACAATGTTGAGAAAAGTAGGTACGATGTTAAAATAATGAATAACATGAGGATACAGATAGAGGCAGGTACAGTTTAGTCTGTGTCACTTTATGTCTGTCTATTTGGGCTAAGACTGCCCTGGATGTCAATTCAAGGCTGATCTACAGATCTAAAGTCTGAAAGAAATGAGGCTCATCCTAAGAATGTCACTAGCACTTGAAAATATGACTTCTGTAGTCAAGATCATATGATCTCAAATCTCACTGCTGTTAGCTATGTGACTACTGCATGATAGACACCCTGCTAACCGGGGTGCTTATTATTTTGATGAGCTTAGCCACAAATCTATTTTAGACCCAAGGGATCTTAAATAGCTTTCTTAGTTCTGCAGCATTAAAAACCTACCAGGAATCTCAGGTAGCAATGATGGGATAAACTAAAGGCTTGCGAATTCTATGGAACAAACAAGAAGAAGGAAAATGGCTAGGAAGGGAAAG